TTTTAAGGAGTTTAGATTGTTTGAAAAATCTTGTCTGGTTTATATTGGTGCAGATTAATTGAGGGTTAAACTTTTTGCGTTACAAGATAAGTTTCTAATACTTTGCATTTATTAGGTTTTCATACTATGATATGAAAAGTTTACGTTCTATAACATGATTGAATATTGCTTTAGAATCCTTTAAAATTAAAGGTTTGAAAGGAAACAAAACTAATTTATGTTCATTATGTTGTTTCCACGTAGTAGCATTGCACAGGTCAACAAGTAAAATTGTAATGTTTAATCCTTAGATTAGAAACGATTTTGCATGTCAATTTATAGGAATATAGTCCAATTTGTTTCGCAAGATAAATTGTATGGTTTTGTATGTGATCATTTATTCTGACTTAGATGTTTTGGAGCGTCTTGAAATAGACACATCTTTAGATTTAGAAAATGCATGTTTTAAAATGTAAATGTTCTTTAATACCATTCAGTAACGGCCATGTCTGAACCTTGAAAAAATTAATTTCATCCTGGAAAAACCCTGGAAATGATCTGGAAAGTTATATTTAAAAAAGTGTGGGAACCATGGCTAGCACAAAATACCATGGTAGTTTTCATTTGTTTGATCACCCAGCCAACCACTCCACCCTCGTAATAATCAAAGAGTCACTATCGCATCGCCATTTAAGATACAATAAGATTTCCCGATAAATATAGAGGTTGGTCAGAATCTTAAAAAAATATCACTGTACTGGAAATTTGTATACATTTGCCTTCTTCCAGAGAAGCCGTAGTAGAAAGTTAAGAATAACACCCTTATTGTACATGGTTACCATACTGAAGGCAAAATAACTACTAGGTTTTATTCATTTCCATCCAGCAGATTAGGACGAGGTGTGAGCTGATAGATAGACTGGCTGATGTTGGCGGGACATAACAGTAGTCCTTTTATGAAACTGGCAAAGCGTCCTAGGTAAAATGGTTTTACTCTACAAACTGACGCCATGTTTGTTTGCTATAATCTGCACAAAGTGATACTTTTCTTGCAAAAATCTTATCCAGCTTATTCCCACTCACTGGATCAATTTGCTCAATTTAAGGACCGACCATTTAATTTTCTTAATATTTTTTTCGGGTGAAAACTTGGATATTTTGACAAAATTTCTGGCCCTCTAAAAGCTTAAAAAATGTTCTTGCACTGTTTTGTAGAAAAGGAAAACTAACTGTGTCGATTACCTCTGTTGAAAAAATGCATAATAAGTTAAAAAAAGAAAGATGCCCTGCTTAGAGTCAAATACCTGGACTCCATCATCAGCCTGCCCTTCCTAAAAATTATAAGGTCAGTCTCGGTGTTTCAGTGGAGCCAGAATTGCAAAATAAAAAGTAGCATGAAAACAGTTTTGAATTCAATATAATCGATTTAATCAAAACTTATTCCAAATTTGCTTGATCGGCTGAAAAATCAATCGCCAAAAATCTCGCCTTCACTATCTTGAAATAAACGAGAGCAACGTAAATACTCAGATTACCAAAGCAAGTAGTGTAAAAATGGAGATTTCGGACAAAACGTAGGAGACCCTTTTATGTTATTGGATGGTGGCTCTGGACCATCTGAACTATGGGATGAAGCATATGGGTTTCTGGCCCAAATGTACGAGATAGGCGTTCTAGACCATCTGGACTTGATGAGGTATGGGAGTAATTATAGGTATGAGAAAAATATTGTGTTCTGGACCAGTCGTAGTAAGAAGAAGGAGGTTCTGGTATTGTTGGTGAAATTAGTGTTAGATGCTTATTGTCAGTATAAGCAATATATACTGAACATTCATCGTTTAAAGAGACGTTTGAGCTAACGCTACGGCCGTGGTTATGGACATGAGCGTTACTAAGGCTTGATGCAAACGTCGAAGATGCCATCGATATTTTGAAACGTTTTGATGCAGTTGTAGCGATGACAAATGCGAATCTGAGTTATATTCCAAAGATGAGATTAATTTTGAAGGAGAAAGATCTGGATGTGCTCTAAGAAGACCAGTGGAGGAGAAGATGGATTTGTAATAAGATTCTATGCCAAGATCCAACAAACATGTTTTTGGTTTTCGTGCAACGATAGTTTCTTTTTTGTGTTTCAGTGGAAACACATAGGCGTACTTGCTAAAGACATCAATGATCGTCAGAAGATTCTTGAAAGGATCATTATGAGAGCTGAAAACTCTCATATCTACAACATTGCTGACAAGATATCCACCGTCACAACAATAACATTACGACGAGGAAAAACGCTTACAGACGGGGCTGTGCAGCTCATTAACGAACGTCTATTGTATATGAAAGGCGCTCAACGCTTGTTGTTCACTCAGTGTATTTTTAAACCAATGCACAACTTATGTTTAGTTCCTATTATGCCACGCACGATAGCCAAGTATACTCGTTCCCTAAAATTTCACGGTGTGAGCTACTTCAGCGCTTTGGCATCAACGTATTTTAAGGCTTCTGGCCGGGCAGAGGCTGTTCGTTTCGTACAGCTTTTTTCCCCAGAGGCTTCCATGGCACTATGTACTTCTGACCTGGTAATGTTCATCCACAGCTAGGCTTGTGAAGTTATCGGATGAGTTTATGGATGCCAACAGCACCCAGAGGATTTGACGTTCATCACTTTTCGTAAATCCTCCCACACAGAAATTCCTCTGCCTCCGAAGATCCTGGCAGCACGTTTCCAGTTAGCAGTGCCTTCAAAGTCATCGATGCATTTTGTTTTGTATATACAAATTGTACATTAAGTAGTGTGAGACATTGTCTCAGGCAACTCATTTCTCGCAGCGTCGTTACCCGACCCGTCACAATCATCGATTTCTTAGCCCCACAGACCTAACAGAACGATGCAACCATCAAGCGACCATTTTTGGTCATATCCTCTACTTGATTTTTATCCCGGTTCTAGCTCTATACCTGAGACACCACATGTTCGTGATTGCGCTATACCTAATACATACTTTAACAAAAAAGGTTATTTGTGTAGCGATAAGACCACATTAGAAGCTGTTAAACATCTTCCATGGGAGACGTTCTATGGAATCATTGCCGGATGTAAGGATGCAGCACCAGCCACAAGTGCTTCTTGTCCACGTGTTGAATCTGTAATGAATTATGCAATTTTGCTGTGACTACAGCATTAATGCTATGGATATGTAAGACATGTTTTTTTATATTACGACAAATGCTATTATTTTGCTTTCTTACATTTTCTGTTACGATAACCGCCGAAAGTGGTTACAACTGCATGTTTTTAGCGAGAAACCCGATTTTAAAAAGCACCGTTAAAGACACTGATCCAGACAGCACAGAAAGACCCTGTGAAAGTAACAAACTGTTCAACAATTTTGGAGCAAGCAAACGTTTTGACGAAATAAACTATATAATAGAACCACCCTGCTGGGGGAGACCTTGCCTCCCATGGTCACTTTGTTTATGACCCTTAGGATAACTAGGGCCATGTTTTTGTTTCTACAGGATCAAAAATCCAAATTTGATTTTGTTCTGTCGTACAGCGTTTTCATTATGGCGTATGGTTTAAACCATGGATATTTTAAAACGCTGCTTTCTGTACATTAACCAAAGCTCGTACAAGGCACCGGCAGTTGGGGGACTCGATTATCCAGAGTTCTCTGGCCATGGAAAATGAGAACGCTTGTGGAACTTAAAAGTGCTTTTGTTTCTCAATATCATACAATGCATATGAGCATTGTCAGGATGCTGTCCGTATCTCAGTGTATTTGCTCTTTCACGTGTCTTATGCATTGCACTACTTAATTATCGTGGTAACAGATGTTACGGGAAGTCGGCGTTTTGTAACTCAGATACTCGTCAAGGGTGACGTTGGTTCGAGGACGATATTAGTTAACTGAAGCATAGGTTCTGAAACAAAGGATCGTCCAGGTAGAGAGGTACCCGGCGGATCCTTGAGCAGAGCGGGCATGGAGAAGTGAACGACCATTCATCTGGAACAGTGCATTGGAGGTATCTATGATCATCGCTTAGATACAACGAAGTAACAAGATGTTGATGGAACATATATGTATTAGGTATTGAACCTAAAAGAAGTCAATGTCAGTATATGGTTGGCATAGGTCTCGAACCTAAAAGTCAATGTCAGTATATATATATATATATATATATATATATATATATATATATATATATATATATATATATATATATATATATATATATATATATATATATATATTTGGCAATATAATGCACCAGCATGCTTGTTAATGAAAGATGAATTGACCATATTTTTCGAGAAGTCCATGCATTAATCATATTAACTGATACATCGATCATTGGATTATATTTCGATAAATACGCGAAAGATCATAGCGGTTAATATATCAGTCATATCGGTTGGTAAATGCATCCATTGACCATGTCCGTCGACAATAGATATAATTTGTACGTTTTTGTTGAATGGACTGTTTTGATTGTGCCCTCTGAGGAACGATGACATTATCTGCTGATGATCTTTGTGCACACGAGTAGGGTAGATTTGTCAATATGAGAGATGATAGTACTGACGTGAATCGAGTTTCTCGTTGCCGGAAGAAGTTAATGGAAAAGCGAGGCACAGCAGTTACTTTCGCGTTGTTGGCGTCATCAACAGTTTTGCATGCTGGTCATATAATATCTGTGTGACGGGTTTGATTAATAGGTTTTTTTGTTTATTCTTCTTAAAGCCCTTGATGGATTATGTTCATACATTTAATTAATCATTAGGAAGCAATGCCAATTAATCCCGTGACACATTGAAGACTTGTGTTAAGGTTTTAGTTAAAATGTTTATATATTTTTTTATATTTCATAAAGCATTATGTGTATTCTTTTCGAACTGGGTACGTCATATGAAAGAAAATTCAAGTTTGAACAGCACCATTTTGTCCTTTGGTCAAGGTAACAAGTCTTCGGTCTCGGCATGCAGTCCAGGCCTTCGTTTAGGTCTAGTGTCATTCCCAGCCGCTCCGGTGGCTTACTTGTTAGAGCGTCTGCCTCGGATGCCGGAGGTCGCGGGTTTGAATCCTGGCCGAGTCATATCAAAGACCAATAAAAATGATACTAACAACTGCCTATCTAGGCGCTCAGCATTAAGAGATTAATGTTAAAACTGATCGGCCTGGTGTCAGGATAATGTGACTGGGTGGGACATGACGCTATATGTCTGCGACATGCTGTTCCGATGCTAGAGATCAGTATGAACTGCCACACCGCAGACATCGAAGCGATCAGACTGAAATATTGTTAAAGAAACGCACACGCACAGGCGCACGCACGCACGCTCCTGTTTAACATTGCTTAATAGGATTATTCATTCAAATATCCCAAACAGACCTTGAGAATGCGCTTTTGTATAATATACTGATTTGAATGGATGATTGTATAATAAGCGACAAGAATTCGCCATCTATTGCATACAATATACAAAGAAAAAATTGGAAGAAACAACATTGCACATTCATGCAGACCAATGTCAATGACATACTCAGGTTATTTCGCAAATTTTCTCAGTTGATAGAACGAGATATTACCATTATCGAGGGAAATAATATGAAGATAAAATCAGAATTTATGTAATTCCAATTCATACTATTTGCAAGATGTGTAAATATATGGCGGGTTTTAAATGAATTATGTTTGTTATTCAAATATATGTTTCCAGATTATTCAAACTTCCACTATTCTGAGTATATAAACATGTTTGATCTATTCCTGAAATATTTTTCTGCATATTTGGCTGTTAGATCTTTCTACAATAAATAATAAATACTCACAAAGTATGTCATTAGTTGGTTTATACGGTCTGGTCCATCTGCCTGCTTGAACTTCGAGTCCGTGAGAGAATACTTTAAATCTAGTATTGCATTTCTATATTTGAAAGAATAGATTGTCTCAATGCAAAGGTTTTATAAGGAATTTGCAAAATAATTCCCGGTTACTATTCTTAAGATGATCCATCCAACTTTGAATAAAATTGTCCGAAAGCCTTAATTTATTTAACTGCAAACATGCCAGAAAAGCAAATCTTTCCACTAGAAAGATTTTAGCCTGAAACCAGGTGCTGTGCAGATGATGAAAATGTAGGGCGCTTTTTTAAAAAAAGATATAGAATATATAGGTCATGTTGTAGGATATGTAAACTTCATGGGCATCGTGGAGGCTAGTATTTTTAAAAAATTTGAAAAAAAAGCATTCTAAAAAAAGAAAATGGAAGCAAACCGTTTTTGTGATATTCATGGTTATCAAAAGTTGGAGTGTTTCATTTTATTTGATAATTGGACAAAGTTCATAACATGACAGTTGAATAAAATGTTTTCAAGAAAGGCCCGTTATGAACAACATCAGAAGACTAGACTTTTTCACACTTTTTGTAGAACATTTTGTGTATAGTAAAAATTGATTCTCCAGTAAAATTTACTTCAAATGAATTTCTTAGATTTACAGGTAGTATTAATGAAACCTTTAGAATGTTCAAAAGCACCAACTATATAACTTACCTACATCAAGTAAGTGTCGGAGCCTAATTAATTATAGCCCCTAATGTAGAAATGTACTGATCACTTAAAAGAAGAATAATGACGATGAGTTTATTTTCCAGTACAGGGTAACAAATTATGATCATTGATAGTAAAAGTACATTGCTTTCCCTTCCTTAGATTTAAAAATGAAGATACAAAATATAACCGAATATACTGTCACACTCTGAATATTTATGAACTGTCCTATAGATAATATGCTACACTATAATCTCTACATCAGCGAGTTTAACTCTTTACGTTGCCGTCCATCGATTTGATTTTACCTAGAATATTTCACTTTAACATAGGCTTTATTAATTTATGCCATACGTTATCCATTACTATGTAATCATATGCTTTGGTGAAATCTATAAACGCACAGAATATTTGTCTTTATCTTGATAAATAATATCTGAGATGTATAATACAAAATTTCTCTTGTCTTCCAAATTCTGTTAGTGCTTCAATAAAGACAAGCTTATTTTCTGCTTAGTCTGTTATTAAGCTATTAAGCATACAAGTGAATATTTTACCTATGCTACTCAGAAGCGTAATATCTCTTTACTAACTCATCATCATCATCATCATCATCATCATCATCATCATCATCATCATCGTCGTCGTCGTCGTCCGCACTATAACATATGACATTCACTGCAGTTCCCCATTTATCACATTCTAGGGTTATCTCTTTTGCTTCCATCCATCCAGGACATGCTGATGGTCTTATATTCAATGTCCAATGTCCAGGATATTTTGCCTAATCATGTGTGGTGGACATCTTCTGGGTTTTTCCCAGAGGTTTCCAAATCCAAAACATGGCGAGCAATGTTGAATTGTTCTTTTTGCAATTTATGTCCCACAAATTTCCAACTGTGTTTATTAATGTTGTCAGAATCGCGTGCATCTGATGCGCAGGATCTGCCTGATCAAGTACTGACAAAGATTTGTAGCTAATGTTCCAATTTCTTTGTGTGTCTCCAGTTCTCTGTCCCAGAGAGAAACACTGATTTTGACGTAAGAGTTTAAAAGTTTAAGCTATGCTTTCAGAATGATGTAATAATTGTTCCATACTGGAACGAGAACGGTAAAGGTATGTTGTGCCTTAGCAATCCTGGCTTTAACGTCCTCATCTGTTCAGACTTATTCACAATGCTGCCGATGTATGCGAACTCATTAACATTCTCAATGGCTTGTCCATCTAAGAGTATAGGTATATCCTGAGTTTGTAATGACACGCAATAATTTTGTCTTGTTAGCCTTAATCTCCCACTTCTTCAGGTAAGCTTCAAGGTTAGGCCATTTTGCTTTAATCCGCCACGAGCACGTTTTCGTGGATTCATCTTCTCCAACTCTCCATTTTCTTTTCTCCAACCTCGGATTACTCTCTCATCAATATCAATTTTTCTTCCTGTGGCTCTGTTGCCATGCACTACAGCATACGCAATGGCAGTTTGCTTGAAGTCGGCTGTGTAAGAATTTAGTTTCGGCATTTTTTAAATTTAACAGAAGGAAATTATTTAAACTTGAATCTTCACGTATTATTCTGCATTTTAGCTTTGTAATCTAGGGAAATAAATTATGTGTTGAATTTTACAAAACTTGTCGTTTGAAGCAGGGTTGTCTGTTGCTATCCGACCCGTACAAGTGAATGATGTTAGAGCTTAGTCAGTTTTTGTGCCATATGGGAGCTTCCAAATTTGTAGACTTCTGCTTGTACAACACCTGGTCCGGGCGCTTTTCTATCTGACAGTAGGTCAATTGCTTTCTCAGTTTCAGTAATCGTTGGAAGATCAGCACGTGATAAGTTGATTTCTACTTACGACAGTCGATCAAGCATGACTAGCTGAATAATTCCAGATAAAAAAAAATTGACCCTTGATCCGATTAGACAGATTTGAGAAGGCCAAATTGAGTAAATAACTTTATTAAAGCTTTTACTATATTTTTTAGTTTTAATGTTCCTCAAAGAAATTGCCACTGGGAACCTTGTTGAGGCACACATAATGGTCAACAAATATTGGTTGCCTGACTTGGTCTTAATTAAGGGGCCAACATAATCTAACATTATTCTTCTTAATAGTTCGTCAAATTTAGTAATACGTTGCAGATGAGCCTTATGAATTTCTGATTCGGTTTTCCTACCATTTGACAAGTATGACAAGATCTACAGTATTTACATCACTTTTGATCTTTGGCAAAAAAAAAGTGATTCAAGATCTTGTTATAAGTCTTATTAATCCAAAATGATCATCCAGAAGAGTTTCATAGGCTAAGCTAAGTACTTCCTGTCTGTAAGAGTTTGGAACTGACCACTCTTCACCAGCAGGTACCTCCATTTGTCATAAGAATTCCATTTTTAATTAAATAATGGCTTCAGTTTCACTAATGGTCCTTTGAAATAAACAGGAGGTATATTTTCCTGTGATTTTCGTTTGTCACCATGATTAGGAAAAAGAGAATGAGTAGTTAAAAGAGGATCACTGTGATCAGTACCTTTTGAATAAAACAAACAAGGAAAGTGACCTCATTCAAAGCCTGACCAATACAGGTGTCAGCTAAAGGAATACTTTTCTTATCAAAACCATTTTCAATAGTATTCTTTGCCATAGATCTAGTAACTGCACAAGCTGGGTATAATCAGGGAATTCTTTTTCAGTAGGATCAACTTTCTGATCCAAAGAAGGTTCATCAGTTAAAGTGGATTAACAACAACCTTGTTTCCAGCTAGATTGCTGCCTAGTAATAAATGAATGCCCTTAACGGGTAAAGAAAATACTATTCCGACTGACACAGGTCTTGAAACTAAGTCTGATGTCAAATTTACACAATGGAGAGAAACATTAACAAAACCACACTCTACTCTCTGAATAAAAACACTCTCGTCTGAAAAAGATTTGTTAGAAAAAGACAAGGTATCTGATACTAAAAGACTGAGAAGCTACTGTGTTTTCTAAGGTTTCGATCTTATGCTCGTCAAGATACATCCTAATGTCAGCATTGACACAGTTCCTACAAATTCAACTAACATGAGTTGTCTGAGACTTTCGTAATCTTTATTGCCTTTTCTAAAAGAGCACCACCTATCAATTAACTGTTCTTCTCATGCAAATTCGACATGAGCTTGTCCAGCTTCATTTTTATAGTTCCTAAATTTCTGCCGATAAGCCTCAGTTACTAACTCATAATTCTTTAATATATATTTCTTAACCAGATCAAAGTAGTCACTTTGACAAACTGACATTGAATGATAAATATCAATTTACCAATAAGTACACATCGTAGTAACTGAGTCAAATCCTCCCTTTTTCGTTTCAAATTTTCAGCAACGTTATGAACACGAGGAAAATATTTGTCTACTAATTTTTCTCTGAAATGCCATACTAACCTAATATGCTTTGTAATATCAAAACTGATTTGTATGTGAAGCGGAAACGTGCTTTTCACTTGCTAGCTCGATTTCTTTGATTCTAAATTGATATTCTTTCTTTTCCTTCTCTCTTTGCATTTGCATCTATC